GTTGATTATCTTACCCACGTAGGGGAGACTTGAATAGGGAAGTAAATTTGGGGTAAGGCGGAGACAGTTGGGGGTTAGTTGGGAACCTTTTCGGGAGGATATCGGGAGTTGATAGAAAGTCGTTTTGGCTCAGTGCAAATGGAGCAAAACCGTCGGACAAGAGTTTAATTTAGTGTAAAGACTGCGGTTCGATTTTATTACATTGTTTCCAAGTTCGGTACGACCTAGCGGTGACGCTACTGACAGTTACAAACTCACAATTAATCCAGTCGAGTAAAAACTGGATTTTCTAGTGGTTGTTTTTGCCCCCTGTAGCATGTAAACTTTACTGACTTAATGTCTTTATTTCTTTTTTGATTAACACAACGTTTCGGTCAGATGAATCACAGACCGTTATCAAGTGTAGAGTAATCTACTTCCTGAAACTACTGAGTTTTATACTACAGACAAGATTCAGAACCAGAAAGAACTTCGCTGCCTCTTAGGAGAGTGATGGAACTTTTGAGGTGCAGTCGGCAAAATACTTACTTTCAACTTAAAGATAAGTTTCATGCTCAAAATGACGGTTTACCGATGGGTTCCTCGCTCTCTCCAGTACTAAATAATATACAGGGTGGTCCGAACTGTATTCCGGAAACTTTGGCAGCATATTCGGCAGATAAAAATAAGTAAAAATGTATGTCCTAAAATGCTTAGCTTCTGAGATACAGGGTGTAGAAGTTTCATTTTTATTTCGATTTTTTCCAAATAATTTCTAAAGTAACATAAATATTCGGAGGAAAATTAGCGTCTAGCAGTTTTTTGACGTGGTAAATTTAATTCTGATGTCAATATGACTCCTATATGTAGGGGAACGCCACCTATATGTGTTTTAAATGTTTTGAAGAGAATAACTTTTCGTCCGTACCTGTTTAAAACTACTAAATGTAAAATTTACATTCCCGTGATTTTTTACGTAAAAAATGTCTCTTGGTAAAAATCACTTCAAGTAACCGTTCTCAAGATATTTAGAATGGAAATAGTGAATACATGTTATTATTGTTAATTTTTAGTTATTTGACTGAAATAACATATTTTAACATACTTTAATTAAAAACTGAAATAATTTAGATGATATATTACTGCAATAATTAATAATGAAAAAACAGACGATTTTCTCTATTAAAATAAACTGCGAGGCCCTTTTAAAATAATAATCGTTAATTACGGTTCTAAATTAATTCGTTAGCGCGTAACAACGTCGCTCGTAAATTTGAATAAAACGGAAAACGAAATAGAAAAAATCTCGGCTTTTAATATGTCCGTATGTTACGGCCAATTTTGAATAAATTGAAAAGAAATCCGTTTGATATATGCGCAAATATAACGTAAAATATATAAATATACGTTATTTTCGAAGGCATTAATTTAATTTGCATGAAATTTTATCTAAATTACACATGCACGAACATCTAAAAGAACAAACATTTATTTTATTCCGTATAATTACAAACCTTTGCCTTTTTTAGGGACTAGTTTTAAGCAAATTAATAAAAATAGTCTTAATACTAAAAATTATTTTATCCAACAGCCACTACTTACTTATACAGATATTACTCACATGTATAAATGCATATAAAATAAATAATAATACACGCGTGAGTTTTTGAAGTTTTAACACACTAGTGTGCTATAACTTCAAAGCCACACCATTTTATAGAAATTATTAAGCTTTATTCATAAATTACTAATTCAATTATTTATTTAAATTAACAATAACATTAAATGAAAATATTTTTTTTTGTAGATTCAGAAATTGTAAAATCTTGTATGCCTCCAGAGATGCTGTCCCTCCACTGCTTGAAATAGGCTCTGTCATTACAACGGCTCGTTCTGGAACACCTATACCACCTTGAATCTTTTTCGCAATCTCTATTTTCTTGTTGATGGACTCTTCGATATATCCTTCCGCAACCGTTGCAGATCACCATCGTCCGGGTCTTTTTAACGTTGTCATGTTCACTCCTGCATTTGCCAGTAACGTAGCGGATGATCTTCTCATACAATTGCCAGTGTATTGCTTGTTGTAGCCCAAGTACTTGCGGAAGATCTTCCTGAAACATTTTTCTTTAAAATCTGACTTGCCGGTTGATAATTCACCATTTTATCGTTAAAAAATCGCGATTTGTCTAAATAACGTCTTAATGTCATTGCTATTTATTATTTACAAAAATACAAAACGCACATCTATATTGCAGATGTTATTTTTTAAACTAAAAAATTGCAAAAATTGGAAATCTTACAATCGTACTTCTGAAGTCGAAGTAATAATACTACCGCTAAAAATATTTGCAGCTATTTAAGACACACCCTGTATAATCTACAATTTATTATCGTTAGCTCTAAAGACAATAAGCTGTGTTGTATCCTAATCTACTAGAATTTATTAAATACACATCGGGGGTTTATAAAAGCCATCGGATTATGCAAAGATTAAATTTTGTATTTGTCTTGTTTCAGCCGCTTATATATCGGCAATCCGTTGGATAACTTCGTTAAGTATATGAAGTGGATGGCAAAATTGCGAAAGCTTAAGATATCATCCTTATAAATTCGAAATTAAATTTCTTTAATACCCCATATTGATATTTTAGTCATATTGAAATGATTATAAGAACTTTCGAGATAGTTATTAAAACAAGAATAGCTCGAAGAACTAATATGAAAACTTCAAGCATGTCAAACATAATATGAACAGATAAAGAGAGGTATGCTTGGAAATACAATTAAGTGGCAACTGTATGATAAAAAAAAAACGGCATCAAAGAATGGGAATGATAATTATGGCTACTTGTAAATGAGAGACCCTGTAAAACACCACGAAAATAATACACCCTGTACATATCTCATATTTTCTTATAAATTCATTCAAAACTGTTTAGACTGCAAATGCTTTTTTTGTTAATAACGGTTCAGGAATAGACGATCGTGTTTCTGTATAGTAAATCTGGAGGAATCTGTTTCTAAAAGACATTTTACGACTTTTAAAAATAGATATAGGGCTGTTTCTGGTATATTAGAGACGTCGAAGCGCGGCATATATCTTTTTAAGCACTGTTTTAGGGATATAGTTTATGAGATTTTGTCGACAGAAGACGAAAATTTTATCCCAGTGGCGTGAACCGTATTTTTATCTCATAATTTTATAGATTTTAATATTAATTTTGAATTATTAATAGAATTATTTAGCAGAAAATTAAAATTATCTTGTTTTATAAGACATTTCGCAATTATTTTCGAAAATAAATACAGGTATTAGAATTAAAATTGCATTATCCTGATTCTACTGTTAAACACTCTAATTTTGAGCTTAATATCTGTGAAATATGCACATCGTTTGGTGGAAAATGCAGTGCTTAGTGCCTAAATTCAAACAGAGGTGTGATTACGAGAAGCAATAACATTTAATGGTTATTTGGTCTTTATGGTTTCTACTCATTTGAGTTTTGATTCGATAAAACCATTGTAAATTCATTAGGGAGATAATAAAAATAGCAACGCTAGAAATAGAAACATCCTTACTCCAAAATTATCAAAACTTTGTATCCTTAAGTTTAACATTTTAAAAAAATAGGAAAAAATAAACGTATTTTCATTTTTTATCTCACCAATTTTTATAAAACTACTAGCAAACCAAAAATGTCCCGAACAAAAAAATATCAGCCCCTTTCAGCATTATAAGTACCAAGTTATTAACAAGTACCTACTTCTCTCTACCTACTGCACGTTATTCAAAATTACCTGAACACTTAGAAATGGCCTTTCTTTGCGGCTTGAGCCGCCATCTTTAGAACCAGTTCCATCGGTCCCCCCTTTACCCCGCCCGCGGCACGCCAATGCACCGTCGAGCACATGGCCCGCGTGCTGTAATCAAAATGTCACGAGCGCCGGTGCCGGATCGTGTCGGAAATCGTAAAATCTAAGGATTTTTTGAATGTAACATGTAAATAATGGTATTTCACTTATGAAAATTAATACTTATTAAACTTAATTTGTTAATTTTTGTTTTAAAAGTCATTTTTGGAAGTTTAAAAATGAAGATTTTTGTTTTTTCTTGGCCAGTTTATGTTTGGAAATATAGAAAATATATTTGCTATCAAATATGTCTTTTTAACTGCTTATTTTGGGATATAGTTTATCAGGTTGTGTCAACAGAGAGGAAGATTTTAATACAGTGGCAGTGGTCTAGTATTGATTTTTTAATATATGCAACATCAAAGTGATATACAGGGTGTTTCAAAAAACATGTGCCATCTCTGGTGAGGATATTCCTCATAAATAAGTTTTATTTTTCACATCAACATAGGTCCGAATCTGCTTTGTTTCGTAGATACAGGGTGTTAAAGTTTCAATAATCTTTCAATTTTTTATAATTTGCTTCCAAGTACTTTTAGTGATTTGAATGAAATTTTGAAGGTAAAAGTTACTATAAGTGCGACATACTTTAATGCTAACGAAGCGGTCGACAGATTGGCACACGAGAGATGGTACATGTTTTTTTGAAACACCCTGTAAATCAGTATAATTCATATACCATGTTTTTTTTAAATAAATATTATTATATTTGATTCTATGTTGATATGAAATGCTCTGGTCTTGCTACAAAAAACTGGACATCTTGTATAAAAAATATAAGTTTTTTATCTGGGTATTCAGAGTTGTATTACTTTTCTGTAATTGTATGTATACAAAAGTGTATTTAACGTTTTTAAATAAGCTTCAAACTGATAGACGCTGCCGTATAAAAATTGAAAAAGCAATCTTTCCCAGATTTAATACGATTTGCATCAGTACCAGATAGGTTCATTGACCATACGTGCCTATCGAATGCATTGGAATACCTATCTCCAATTACTAGACAGACATTCCGCGGACGTTCCTAGGGAAAACAGCTGGCAACCTCGCACCAGCGATGTAGAAACCTGAATGTAATAAACAGGAGAGAAGGTTCAGTTCGGAGAGAAGGTTAAACGGTACGACCAGCCGAGACAGTACCGATTATTTAAACGATATTTCGAATAGTTTCGTGTTTTTTTCGCGAAAATCTCACTAAAAATCAACGCGACGAATGTGACGAAAGTTTAGCGAAAAAAAAGTGTTTTACGAATATAAATCTCAGTGTTTGTGAGTGTATGTTTATCTTTTTACAGTGCATTTTGGATACAGTGCCACCTCTAAACCTATTGGATTGGATACATTTGAATTTGGATTCGTTATTTTGAAAGGTAACGTTAGTACACGACGTTTCTTTTGTTTATTCGTCGTCATCTTCAAGGTTTCCTTTCCCATCTTCCGAAAGATTTGTTTACTGTTTTACGCTGTTGCCAAGATGCCGTTTTGGTGCCTTTCTTTTTAACGTAAAAATAAAATACAGGGTGGTCCGAACTGAATTCCGGAAACTTCGGCAGCATATTCTGCAGATAAAAATAACTAAAAAAGTTCGAAGTTTCGAAGATACAGGGTGTAGAAGTTTCATTTTTATTTCGATTTTCTCCAAATAATTTCTGAAATAACGTCAATATTTGGATGAAAATTGGAGTCTGGAAATTTTTTAACATGAGAAATTTGATTTTGATGTCAAAATGCCTCTTTACAAGTAGGAGTCATTATTGACGTCAAAAATTTCTCATGTCAAAAAACTCACAGATACCAATTTTCATCCAAATATTGACGTTACTTCAAAAATTATTTGGAAAAAATTGAAATAAAAAGGAAACTTGTACACCCTGCATCTCCGAAACTAAGCATTTTAGGATATACATTTATACGAACTTTTCTACTTATTTTTATCTGCAGAATATGCTGCTACAGTTTCCGGACTACAGTTCGGACAACCCTGTATATCGCCTTGACTAATAGTCCAAAATAATTTTTTTATTGTTTCTTGACCTATTTAAGCTATATTTCATCATGTAGTAGTAGATTTTCTATGTTAAAAATTTAAATATTGCCTTTTTTGGTATAGAACATATTATACTTTTAGAAAGCCCATAACAAAGCAAATGAAACAAAAAATAGTATACAGCGTATCCCATTTAAAAAAAAAACATAAATATGGGTTACATTTCAAAAATCACAGCTCCCAGCGAAAATCTAGTTACACCACTGTATTCTACGTGGTGAAAACTGTATGGGACTCAATTTTCACGTTTTCGATAAGTTATAAGTTAACCGAGATACGAAAGAGGTCAAAAAATGCAAGTACCTAGTAGATTTTTTATGTAAGTATAGGAAGAATAATATTGCTAAGTCTGACAACGCTGCGTTTTTGAATAAAATTTCTCAGAAGGAAGGTGTAGTTTTTGAAGGATTTCGTAAAGTGGAATTTTATGAATTTCTTTAATCTTGTATAAATAAGTATCTACTATATTATATGATTAGATTGAAGGATTGGCGCTACACTATAGATAAGTTAAGTATGTAGTAATAATATTACAAATAATTCTAAAAATAAAAAAAAGATCCACAAAATTCCCATTAATTTTGCTAGAGCTTAAACTATATTTTTTTTAAAAACAATTCTTGTATTGCGAATTTTTTAACACTGATCACAACAACCTTCTAAGTTATTTGCTAAATTTCATTTAAAAACAATAAACAATCACGAGAACATTGACGAAAAACTTGGATTTTTCGAATTTCCTTCCCCTAAAGGGGATTAGGATTAGAGAATATCCAAGTCAATCAAACCAATTCATCTTGTGTGAGAAGGGACACCAGCGTTGCCAACTCAGCGGTTTTCCCAGAAGAACTAGCGTTTTTTTAGCGATTTAAATTTTTCAGTAACAAATAAGCACAAAAATATATCTCTTCTAAAAACTAAAAATGTATATTTTTCGAGAGTCCTACTTTTTCTGTTTAGTTTCTATTGAAAGCACACCGATTATTTTCATCATCAAGATGATTTTTTGAACAGTTCCAACGCAATAAACAAGAAATCTAAAGTCAATATACACAATCCCCGGTATATCTGCACTTACTCTGTCTATTTTCCCGTGCTTTGCAAGTATTTCGTTTATTTTCTTTTGATTTTAACACTGAACAGATCCTGTATGAGTTTTTAACATCGACGTGGGTTTGCGAAAATTTCGCAAGAAAAAGGATGTCTCAACAAAAAAGGAAAAATAAATAAATGTCTATCGAGGAAAATATCCTTCGTTGGAAACGTAACTATAATAATTTATATCATTTTTTTAATCCTATAAAAATAATGTCTAAAAATAGATGAAAAACAAATATCTGATAATTTTATGTGGTTGAAGTATATAAAAAATTATAAAAATAAAATATAAGTTTGTTTTTCTGTCCCCAGGTTTCTGTTTTATAAAAGCCCCAGTTCACAAGAAAACCCATCTCAAGTATTTTTTTAGAACATTTAATATATCCTTTTTTCTTGTTCTATATCTACCGAAGCCTTGATGACGAGTTAGTACTCAAAAACGGGCAACACAATCAACAATCTACAAACCAAAAAGCTGTTTCTAATAAAAATATTTTAATAATAATAATTAGTAAAGTATTTTTGTCTGGATCAAAGCCTTTATTTGCGTACTACATGTTTCCGTACCATCCATATTCAATTAGACCCAATAACTGGCATTCCGCCGCATCCAAAATACACGGCAGCGCCCCCTTTTAATTAATTATCATTACTAAATAGTCGTATCCAAAGGCCGGCGCTTATTGGTCGGGGTGATAATTTGATTTATTGACACGGCAATAAAATCAAAATTACACACGCTGCAAACGGACATCGTCGTGCGATTTTGATTCGGGCAACTGTCTAGAAACGGGCATCCTAAGATGAAAAATATCGATATCGAGAAGGTCAATGCGAAATAGGCGTATCGATATTTCGAAATATCGATAGTTTCGAACGTCCCTATCTATTCGACACGGCCGACTGATATTTTATTAGTTCGTACAGATTGTGCACGTTATGAATTATTAACAAAACAGACATCGATTGATTGGATTCGAATGAAAGCAGCTAAATGACGACAGAGAGTTGCTTCCGAGAGTTTAAAAAATGTTATGATACGTGATAAGTGTGATTAAGTAGGTTTTCGCAAGCTTGGGTTTTATTTAAAAGTTCTAAAACTATTTACACATTTGAATATTTTCATTCTAAAGAATTAAATTCAGTAAAATTTGAAATGTTATTTTTAGAAAAATATGTAAAGTTGTTCTTAAAAAATAATAAACAACTAAATAAAACGCTGATTTAATAATTAGTAACCCTTGCAAACATATTTTTTCCAATTAACCGCTCCTCTTAGTTAATCAATGAGTCTGAATTTATTTGCATAAATAAAATTTGTTTTTCAAATCGGAGCTCTCGAGGGAGTTATTCAACTTTCCACATTTTTTAAAAGTGATTCTTAATTTTTTTTGGGGGGCCGGCTAAAAATAAGCGTGACCATGAATTAAAGCAGATGTTATCAAATTTTCATTACAAAATGATTTTCTTTCCTCTTTCCTGATACTTATCATAGAATAAGATTCCTGAAATTAACATTTTTTTCTGTTTTTAAGAGTTCCGTATCTCAAAAGGAATTTTTTTCAATTTTTTTTATCCCTAAATTTGATAAAATCAAAGTAACTACATCTAAAATAGTGCTACACCAAGAATTTCGCCATGTATGACTACCTTCTTTATATTTGAACAACTAATCTTAGTAACAGCCATTAAAAACTTTTTCTCGCCATATTGTCATGATTTGTATTTGTAATGAGTAATGTAATTGTTTCATTCATCTTTCAAGACTCCAAAAAGCTTATTCATAGCATTCGTGTTTGAAATAAACACCTATTACTGTTAAGTGTTATTTATTCAATGCGCCCATAACTTTTATCTATTTACCTGGGTTCCCAGAATATGCAGTGGGGTTATTATAGTTATATTACCCTCTCGCCAGAGCTTAGAAAAAGACTTGCTTGATATTAAAAGCCTTTTGTGCTTTACGATGTTATTCTACCAAGAAAATTACGCGTTATACAGCTGCTTGTTTGCCATTTTACATCGCTAGAAAATGTAGCTGAATATTATTACTACAGTGTGTCCCCGCCGGATTGCCTTTATAAGAGAAAAATATTTTTTATTATTGACATTTTGAGAAAAATGCATTCTTCCTAAAAATTTTTGCTTGTTCTAAAATGGTTAATCTCGAAAATTTTTTGTGAATATTAGATATACATGTAAGATTATAGGAAAGTGTTTTTTATCCAAAATGCCCGGCTCATTTTTTCCACAGGATGTTTTGAATTTATTGCAAAAACATAGTTTTGATTTATCCCGGTATAAATCCACCTAACCGAAGAATATAAGCCATTAAAATATTAAAAAATAATGGCAACAAAATTATCTACAAACTGATACCATAATCATAAAAATTATTTTATTATTAGATTATTGGATTACAAATTCAAAAGTGATAAAACATCAAACTTAGTCAAAATTTTAGGGAGGCGGAATTTTGTGCCGGGAAGTACATTTATTATTAATAAAAAACTAATTGTTTATTGTTTTAGTTAAAATATAGGTCAAAATTTGATTCGACAAAAATCGTTTGATATAAACACATTTTTTATCGCTACTCCAGACTCCTAAATAATACATCAGAGCTTATGAAATGTGATATCAAGTGATATCCATATACATTCAAGAGATATGAGATTTTGAAATACGATATATTATACAAATATGAATTAACAACAGTTCATTTTGACGACTTATGTATATTGTTTGCGTCAGAAAAATTCAGTACTTGTTTAAACTTGTTTTTGTAGAAATAATGAACAATATTGTCTTTTATTTCTGTTTTTAATATGTAGGTAAATGGAGTTATGGAAACTTTCCGACTCAGTTGCTTTCTTTTTTTTCAAAGAACAAACATTTTTTTTCGTAAACGGTCTGTTTGAAAAAGATGAACGGATAAAACGTAATAAAACAACTGTAGCGTAAAGTGTGCCGCTCCTTGTAATTGAATAAAAGCTCTGCTCTCAGATTTTTTAAGCGATTATTTCCGCTGTTATAGTTTATTAGGGTACGTAAAATCCAAGTGTTTTTTTTCTTCTCTTCATGGCTCTTAAAATAGAACTCCCACAAGGCTGCGAGTTATTGGTAACTTCAGTAGAAACTCTTGTTTGATCACAAAAGAAAACAAATATTTTTTATATCAAAGGCTTAAAAAAATTGTTAAAGTTACAGAAGTACCTAAACATT